CCATCCCACATGGCCATCATAAACATTCCCCCAAAAGGTGAGGGGATCTCAAGGCNGCCTTTGAACTATGGTGCTCGAGAAGACTCCTGTGAGTCCCTTGGACTGCAAGACAATCAAACTGGTCAGTCCTAGAGATCAACCCTGACTGCTCTTTAGAAGGCCAGATCCTGAAGCTGAAACTCAAATACTTTGGCCACCTAATGGGAAAGGACTCACTGGAGAAGAGCCTAATGCTGAGAAAGATTGAGGGCAAAAGAAGGGGATGACAGAGAACGAGGTCGCTGGATGGAGTCACCAAAGCAGTAGGCATGAGCTTAAATAAACTCCAGAGGATAGAAGACAGGAAGGCCTGGAGGAACGTTGTCCATGGGGTTGCGATGGGTAGGACATGACTTCGCAACTAACATTCTTATGTAACAAAGATTCCCGATGAATCTGCAAATTCAGAAGCCCTATCCCACACAAATCTATTGGAGCAAGCACATCACTCAGTTCTATCAGAACTTACTGAGATCCTAGGGAGAAATTGGCCACAAACTTTCACTTAAGAATCTATGGACAACTTAACATGTTGTTTTTATAGCAATTCTTATGTCTTTCAGGTCTCTGTTCAAAGTTGACTGAGTTGTCACAGGGCAGATTTATCTTTGTCCTGACTGGCCAAAATTAATTATACAGTCAACATTGAAAGTAAATATTTGATAGTGCAACAGTGTCACTTAGTGGGCAAACATAGGATTCTTTTTTAGCAAATATAATGGTACATCTACGACTGAAAAGATGAGTGGAGAATATCTACTATAGCTGGCTGACACTGCAAAAAATGTGATGATGTATTAGAAATAATTAAAATAAGTGAAGCATTTCTCATTTTTCATATCATTAGGCCAATCTGATCACTTCTGAATACAATTACATAATTATTACGAAATAGTCAGTTTAAATCCAATTTTTCATAAGGTTATCATTCAGATCTGAATTTAACTGGAAACAGATCACAGGGCTGCTGTGAAGACAAATAGAAAAGAGCACGGTGTGCCTAGCCTTGAGTTCTTAACTGCAGGATAGAATAGAAAAACTAACACATAAACAGCTAATAACATAAATCATGTTTTTTGGATATACAGTACAATGGAGATTCTCTTGTTNCGAATAAACATACATCCCCATGGCTATCTTCCGTTAGACATTAAAGTGAACCATCCCACATGGCCATCATAAACATTCCCCCAAAAGGTGAGGGGATCTCAAGGCGCTTCGGCGCCAGGAAACCAGTTGTAAAATATCAGTTGTCACAGGCACTGCTAATAAATCAACTCCAAGGCCCCCCTCCTCCCATTTGAATGGCAGTATCACTTTTAGGGATCTGACAGACCTACAGATTCAGAGAAAACTCACTCGTAGCTGTTCTCACCACTGGCCATTTCAGAGTAGGCTTTCAGTTGCTTTCCTTATGCTAAATTCCTTCAAGCACAAGGCATGGGGGTTTGTGATGCTGTTTCTGTTGTAGTTTAGAAATGTTGCCATATAGAATAAAAGACTGGGTGACAATTGTGGTTTCTAAAATTATGTGTATATTTCTATTCTTGGTATACTATAAGTGGAGCAACTGGATCAAATCAAGTGGCTTGGGAGAAGATATAAAAATCCTCAGTGGAGCTGGTTACCCAAGGATGATATTTCTTTTGAGCAATAATATCAAGGTAAATGGTGGATTGGCATTAGATTTCCTTCTGTGACAGAATGTTCAATGACAGAATATATAGGATACCAATGAAAGTGGCATGTGGAAGACTGGATGGAGACAGTCAGAATAAACCACTGAGAAAGGCTGAGAGACTTAATGGCAACGTTAACTGCATAGATGGAATTGGATCTCCAATACGGTTGGTATTGGAGATTTGAAGACAACAAAGGCTCAGTATGAAAATGATTCAAGATTCTATTCTCTAAAAACATTAGATCAGGGGAACCCAGAAGTTTCGCGATGGAACGGCAGCAGGAATAGCGAGCTCCGAGGAGACTCGCGAAAACTCCACGCAGCGAACCATCATTGGGAGGCCTTTTTGGTTAGAACCATCCTGGAGGGACGGCGAAGAAAGAGAGGCGTTCTTATGACCGTGAGGAACAAAGGAAGCTCCTCGGCAGGTCCAGAACAAGTTCTCTAAGTCTGGCAGTGGAAATGGCGGCCATCTTCAATGACTGCTCTGAAGCCGCAACATCCGGATTAAGTTTTGAGCAGGAGCGGTGAGCAGAAGGAGTGTGGAGACCTGGAAGAAAGCTGGCCAAGCCAAGGGTAAAGGAAAACATTTTATTTGGATCTTTAAAAAATGTTTAGGACAATTAAAAGTAGTGGCTAAGCAGCATTCAAAAAACAAAAAGAGGGGGAAAGAAGCGGGGGAAATGGCAACTGCCCAAGAAGTTTGCAGCTAAAATATTTGAAACCTGAACTGTTAGAGAATAAAAGAGGAAGAAAAGATATAAGGAGAAAACAGAAAGACTTATACTGAGTGGGTTGAAATTTTTGATTCTTGAAACCATTGAAAAATATTGATCTGACTGGTTGGGGTATTGTAAATGCCATCTACTGGAGGGAAGGGAGTACAACAACATCTGGCAACAAATAATAGTGGAAAATTTCAACCTTGAATACAAAGTACGGAAAAGATAAGTGGAAAAGCTCAAAGGAGCATACAGCTTGTCTTTGTTGTTTTGGACTTTGTTCTTGTTGTGAGTGAGAAAGAAAATCAAGAGTTTGAAATAGACTGATTGTCGGCCTCTGCTTTGCTTGCTTGCTTTCGGCTGCAATGGAAACGGGGGCAGGGGGCATGCTATTTGGGGTGGGAATAAATGGTGCAGGAGTGTTAGTCAAAAAGGGATTTTGTTCTCACCATCTTCTGCGCATGCTGTTGGGATCTGGTCAAGGCCAACCATCCTGCATACCAACCTGATGTTGGTTCTTGGAGATGCAACCCACATGACACCTAAGGGAGTTGCAGATTGGGCAATGAGGTGGGGGTTGTTGGAGGGAGGGGGTTGGGCAAATGTTTGATATGTATGATATGTTCAATAAAGAATGTAAAAGGGGGTGGGAGAAACCCAGTCAATACTTTGTTTGTAAAGAGGTTTTAAAATTTGTAACAAAAAATAAAAAAATATTGCAAAAAATACCCCATTAGACCATAAGCTCTACTATAGGAAAAAATAGAGAGCAACAGCAGAAAGAAAGAAAAACTTTTTTAAAAAATCAGGCATGGGGAGAACTAAAGAGATGAACTATAGATAGGGTGAGCACAAAGATGAAAAGGAGGACTGGGGTGACATGATAATAGTGTTCCAATGTTTGAGGGGCTGCCACAAAGAAGAGGGGGGTCACATCAGGGGTGGGTTCCTGCCAGTTCTAACCTCTTCTATAGAAGAGGTTCCACAAATCTACAATGCTGTTTAGAACCAGTTCCAGCTCCCTCCCACCGCCCGTCCGCACATCATCAAGATGAAGAGCCAGAGGAGGAATTCTGGGAATTAAGTCCACAAATCTTAAANGCTAAAGCCGCGACGTCATCACCATGCGTCATCACCGCCGCGACAACAGCGCGGTGACAGAAGGGCGCTTTAAAACAGCGCAGCGGCAGAAAGCCGATTTAAATTAAGGTAAGGGTTAGGATTAGGTTTAGGGGTTAGGTTTAGGGTTAGGTTAGGCTGAGTGCTTCGGAAGGCACGGATTTGCCCTCCGCCCTTATGTCAGCGCGGTAAGGTCGCATTTACTTTAGCGATTCGGACGGCGCGGATTAGCACTCATGCTTATGTCTCCGCGGATAAGGGCTTCACGGTATTGTGGTGGAACCAGACAACAGATATGTGTCTACAGAAGTTCCCTTCCTACTGAAGCACCCTATCCTTCCAGGAAAGAGTAAAAGCCTGGAACTCTGGAGAACTACCGATGCAGTTAGTATGATTGTCTTCTTACATTGCAGCTGTATTGTTCAGTTGTAAACTATCTAACCTAAAAATCACAAAGCAGGATTCCCCACTTCAAGCAGGGTTTTATTGATATTTCTTACTTGAATAAAGGCATTTGTCTATGTATGCAATCACAAAAACATTAAAATGAGTATAACAACTACATTTTATGGACATTTATTGAATATAATCTTTATTAAAATGCTGAATTTGGGGTTGCTAATTAATATTGAGCTAAAGATTTCTTTAGATACAATTAACAAGTTTTATTTAAAAAATGGTCCATGTTATATTCTTCATAAACACATCACCATTAATACATCAGAGATTATCAAATTTGGTTTTTATTATGTAAAAAAATGAAACATGCAGGTTAGTGAGTCTTAACTTTTATTTTTTAGCAGGTTTCTAAATCATCATATGTAAACTCTCAATCAGAAACATGATGCCAGTGGGCACTTTTGCTCATACAAGTCATTCAGAGGATGTTCATAGGACCCAAAATTTCAAGATTAAAAATTCCTAGCAGAGCATGGTATGTTCACTGAAATGTTTACAAGATTTTCTGCAAAAATCTTGTAGGATTTAGTAATCTCCTGAGATTTGGGCTGTTAAAATAATTGGTGCTACAGGAATTGTCTATAACAGTATGCAGAAGATCTTGAAATTTAAAAAAATTCAATGGCCAATATTTGTTGCTGAAAATTCAAGTGATTTTTTTTTTACAATGTAATTAAAAAAAAAAATTCTAACAGAGAAAATGTTGGGTTAGGGTTTATAAACTTTTAGATTCACAAATCTTTATTATATGACTAAAGAAAATTTATAAATATATGACCATTTGTAAGGTACTATTATTATCCAATGAAAGCAAATTCAAGTTCACATCTCTTAATTCTATTAATTTAAGAAAATATTAACATAATGGAAAACAGAAAATAGTCATTTGACAATTTGTAAGCTCTACAATTCTTGCACTTAAAAGGCTACTCCATATTTTTAGCTCAAGAAAATGATGTAAAATAATTAAAATTACAATATCAAAAAAGTCCAGTTAACTGAGCAATTTTGTCTTCTCTGGATGAGATGTAGCTGTTCACTGTCTTGGCCAGATTTTCATGATATTTCTCCAAGCCAATCCTCAAGCTGAGGTAGATCTCCTTAAAGAGGTAGAAGATTAGCAGACATTATTTTTTTATAAGAGACATGAGATCTACACACACACAAACACACACACACCCTTAAGTGATGTATATACTGGACCATGGTCTGTAGTATGTTCATGATTGATTTCTGGCAAGGGATGGGCTATACCTTTGAAAAACTGGAAATAATATTTTCGGAAAACGACTGGCTCAACTTATCAGGAGAGCTTTAAACTAAAATTGAGGGGGGAGTCAGACATAAAGATCTCAAGTGTTATATATACATGCACAAAGTCTGGGTAACAAACACGATTAACTATTAATACATGAAGGTAGATATGATATAGTTGGAATAACAGAAATTTGGTGGGACGAAACCCATGGCTGAAACATACTGATAGAAGGATACAAACTGTTCAAAAAAAAAAGCCAGACCCCATAAAAGAGGTGGAGTTGCAATGTTATTATTATTATTATTTATTAAATTTATAGGCCGCCCAATCCCAGAGGACTCGGGGCGGCTAATGTATATAAAGGACCACTCTATTGCTACAGAAATGCATGAAACCGAAGACAAAAACCTCCTACAATGCATATAGGTCAATATAAAAGAAAAAAAGAATGACATGGCCATAGGTGTATACTATAGGCCACCCAATCAAGCAGAAAAAATAGATGCTCTCAATTGGAAGACTGATTCTGCACCAAGTGAAAAATCAAATAAGATCCTAACCAATCTAGTTGACAACTTCGTTGTCCAAAAGGTAGAGGAGGAACTAGAAGGACAAACAGAGAAGAAGTTATAGAGGGAGTTGAAACTGCAGGAACCTTGGGTGACAGTGATCATGTCATACTAGAATTCAACATAACACAAACACAAGCAATAGAACATAATGATACCAGAGTCTTAGATCCTCCTTGGTCCAAAGTCCTCTTTTCTGATGACAGCAACTTTTGCCAAAAGCACTAAAACCTGGTTCAATGGCCGTGGGATTACTGTGCTTGATTGGCCTCTCCAATCTTCCGCCAAATTCTGGGTCCTTGGTTTCCAAATGAGTTGCAAAAGTTGCTCTCATCAGAAAAGAGGACTTTGAACCACTGAGCAACAGGACTTTGGACCACTGTGTTTCATTAAGACCAGGATCAACGCAGCCGTCTACCAGGAAATTTTGGAGCACTTCATGCTTCCTTCCACAGACGAGCTTTATAAGAATGCTGACTTCATTTTCCAGCTGCCCACTGCCAAAAGCAACAAAACCTGGTTCAATAACCGTGGGATTACTGTGCTTGATTGGCAAATAAACTCTCTTGACCTGAACCCCATAGAGCAGTGGTCCCCAACCTTTTTATCGCCGCGGACCAGTCAGCCTTTGATAATTTTACCGTGGCCCGCTGAGCG